CGTATTATAATTTTCACAAAAAAAATATTTCATTCGCCTGAATCAAACTTATTTCTATAAAAATTTTAAAATCGTATTATTTTTTATTTTCAAGATATATTGGAATAGTAAATTGTTAATTGTGGGAACATCATGGAAATCTTTAAATATTTATTAGATTTTTATAAAAGAAAGTGTGGCAATTGACAAATAATGACTACAATATATAAAACTAAAAAATTGCTAAAAATGAGAATAATTAGAAAAATGTGTGAAAATAAAACTGAAATAAATAAAAATGATAGTTTGTAAATAGAAATATCGTTAAGCTAAATTTTTGTTTGGATTAAGGAGAACTGCATGTTAAATGAAAATATTTAAATGCACTTTTACAATAATAGTAATTAAAACTTCTTAAAATAGTATAATTTAGAATGTATAAATATAAGTAAAATAGAATAAATTAGTAAAATAATTATATGTTTGTATTGCAACATATCAATATTTTGTGGTATTTTCCATCTTGTGTCTATTTTTCCTATAATTTCACAGGAGTTTGAGCAGACCTCAGAAGAAGTAAAGTCGGTTTGCGTGCGTAAAAGGTTTATTTTATAAAAAGAAAAGAAATCCTCTTACTCTATAGAAATGACGATTCAGAATCAAAGCGGATTTCAAAGGAGTTTCAAATGTTTTGATAGTTGTAACATCGGAAAGTTTAGAACTCATAATCTTATTTAGGCATTTGTGTTTTAATAGAAAAGAACATATAGTTAGATTTATTTTAGAGACAAACACTTTACGTAAAAATGATGAAAACTGGGATTGAAATGTTTTGTACATAAACAGTATTTATTCAGGAGTTTCATATTTTTATGCACATAAAAATAATATAAATTAAATCGTATTTCGAAAAAGATTTTATGTTACATTTACTAATTTATTACTTCACATAAAACAGTTTGACAAAAAAAATATAAAAAATAATTATTAATATATTAGGAAAATTTATTTTTGATGTCGTTTTTTAATGTCTTATTTTTTTTAACATTTATATTTTTTAATCAAATTAATTAATTAAATCTCTTAATATAATTAAATCTGGAGATGTTAACAGTTGACAAATTCAGATATTATAAGTATTGACTGTTGATAAAAATATTTAAAAAATCTATCTCTTAAACTCATCTAACACAAATATATTATTGGCTTGGCTATTAAGTTATCATTCATATGTATGTATTATAAGGTGTATGGTATACGTTGTTATTGTTGTGTAGGTGTTTAGTAAAAATGTGATAATCGTTTATTTCACATATATTTATTTTTATCATTTTATTTTCAGTGTGTATTTTGAACAAGCTAAATATGTACCAAGTTAATTCAGTTTCATTAAAACAAATAAAATCGTCAACTTTATATAATACCCGCATCCAAGTTGAGTTTATAATTGCATTATACGTCAATTAATCACTTTGTTGTATGTGATATATACATGTTCCAGTGACATCTGCATTTGACATGTGGCAAAGGCTGTTGTATTGATTAATTTCTAATAATCAGATCCTGCATTAATAATGATAATCTCCAATTATCATTCTGGTCGATGATATTATTTCGACGATTGCAATCAACTCTTGTTCGTGAAATGTTAATGAATACAGAGAATAATAATGAGGGTACATCACACATATTATTTGGTTATAGATTTACGACCTGTTTATGCAGGAATTTTCCATTCATAGAATTATGAAGAAATTATTATTCAACTAGAATGAATGTTTTTTCAGAAGACGTTATTGTTTGTTCGTTTGAAGAATTATTTTAGGAACGTGTTTCTAAATTATTTAACATCTAGTTGTTTGTTTTATCATCATTATTAATAGTATCTATTCTGTCTAAAAGCAGAAAGCTCTTAATAACAGAGCAAAATTTTTGACTTATAATTGCAACTTTATGTCTCAAAATAATGCTATTTTGTATTTTATATTCTGTTTATGATAATGTTTGTTCATAAATTAGCTCTTTCAATTGTCAGCTAAAAATATTTAGAATTTTAACTTCTACTCAATTATCCTTTTATAATTGTGTTAGAGTAATAATATGCCAATCAAACTAACTGATGTATAATTAATTCTTGAAAAAGAAATAATAAAGGAATGCGAGGTATTATAATTTTGTGAAAAATATTATACACAAAGATTTGTTCTTATTTCCTATATAAGGTTCACTGCATTATTTTCATATATAAACAAACATATTCAAAGAATTCTATATTTTCTCTTCAAAATTAATTACAACATTGAATTTGAATCCCAAGTTTTTTGTCAATTTAAGATTTGTATGCATATTGAAATGTATAACATAGTAATTATTATAATAAAATAAACAAAAATGTTTGAACTATTTGTAAACTATTTCCAAAGTCTTAATGAAGCCTTAGATATGTTAACAACATACTAGAGAACACATTTGTGTAAAGTATTATGTTTCAAAGTTGTCGGAGTTGTTAAGTGGATATAACTCCTCTCTGAAGCGGAGTCAAATCCTAACCGATCCGGTTTCTGATATGATAAGCCCATCTCTAGTACATAGTTACTTGTACCTAAATAGGTGCAGTAGGAATTTCACGATATTTGTAACGAAATAATTATCTTAACTAATACGAATTGAGATCATGTAACTTTATAGATTGTGTCGATGGAATCTTCAACTATTTATTTCAAACAAAGTTTTTCCGATACAATTTCTAATTGATAACTTTCAAACAAACTTATAATATCTATAATTGTTTTAATTATAGTGCACGATCAAGATATACACGATGCATGTTCTAAGAGATTGGCTCATTATTGAAAGAAATAATTTTCATAATTAATCTACTTTTTGCATGATTGTATATGATTGTTCAAGCAATGAATCAGATGAATGAATGGAATGAAACTCTATGCAAAATTTTAAAAAGTTTTTTATGTATATTTTATTAAATTTTTCAACAATTAACTTCGAAGAAACTGCTTGTTTGATTTTCATCAAAAACTAATTGGTACGATTCCTTTTTTTATTATTATACAATAATTTTCACACTTTTTCTAGGACAATAAATAAAATACGGTTAGTAAGTGATAACTATTGATTAGCCTTTGAATTGTGAAAATCGATTTAGGATTTTTGGCGAAAACGTGGACAATTGTTTTGCATTTATCAATTGTATTTTATGTGAGTTTTACAGAGTTTAATTAAAATTCAGTAATCGGTGCAGCCATTTCTAACGTCAACTAAAGATCTAAATTTCGGTAATCCACAACTCAAGCGTTTACCAATTTTGATTTTAAACTTAAAGTTATCAATTTTGATTTTTCTTGTCTTAATTTTTGTCTAACAATTCATTTAAATTTTCTAGAAATAATGTGTATCTCTTCAAATAATGCATAGAAATTGTTGCAATCGGAATTCAATATGTTTGCATATATAGTTATATTTACAGTTTAGGTTTTACCTTGTTTTACAATTAGTAAAGTACATCTATATTTCGTTCTTTGTCAGAAACATTATTTTCCCACTTTTTAGAGCAGTTTCTCGTTTGTGACTTTGCCGATAAATCTAACCTTCATAATTCTTGTCTAGCAAAACATTTGAACTCTCTATAAATAATTTGTATCTCTATAAATAATCTTATGTCGAATCTGTTACCAGGTATGCTATCAAACATAGTTTTATTATTTATGAGTTGCCAATTCTGGCTCTAATGTGTTTGGCCCAGTGAACAACTTTCATTAAAATTTTATCCAAATTAGAAAAAACTTAAAATAGATAATGGGTAGTAGAGATGGGCTTATCATATCCGAAGCTGGATCAAATAGGATTTGACTCCGCTTCAGAGAGGAGTTATATCCACTCAATAACTCAACAACTCCGACAACTTTGAAACATAATACTTGACCCAAATGTGTTCTCTAGTGTGTTGCTGACATATCTAAGAATTTATTAAGACTTTGGAAATTGCTTACAAATAGTTCAAACATTTTTGTTTATTTTCTTATAATAAGTACTATTTTATGCATTTCAATATGCATACAAATCTCAAATTGACAAAAAACTTGGGAATCAAAATCAATTTTGTAATTAGTTTTGAAGAGAAAATATAGAATTTTTTGAATATGTTAATTTTCATATAAAAATAATGCAGTGAACCTTATATATGAAATAAGACCAAATCTTGGTATATAATATTTTTCACAAAATAATAATATGTCATATTCTTTTATTATTTTTCTTTCGAGAATTAATTATACATTAGGTAGTTTGATTAGCATACTATTATTTTTACACAATTATAAAATCATAATTGTATGAAAGTTATAATACTAAATATTTTTTAGCTGGTTGTACATCATTGAAAGAGCTCATTTACGGACAACCATTATCGTATACAGAATATAGAATACAAAATAGCATTATTTTGAGACATTATATACCTGGAAAGTCCTAAAACTGGCTGTGAGACGAGAAAAAAACCACTTCTTTCGACCAAGTCTTTGTATTAGTAAAAAAATCTCAAGCAAATATCTGCACATGTTAACAGATTTAGTATCAGTTTAGGGAAATCGGATATGACAAATCCTATGAGACAACTCCACTCGGATTCACTCCGAGGGAGGAGTTGTATCGGAGTGATAACTCCAGAGTGAGTTACCCATCTCTAATGGGTAGTATTGCCCCAGGACTGGTTCGTGAGATGGAGTTGAACTTCAACTCCATTCAGGGAAGAAAAGTATGAGAGATTTCCCATTGCCATTTCACACCGCTGAGTCCGAAATGGGCTATTTTCAATTGAAATCATATTTTTGATTTGCTACTCGATACCAGGTTGCTAGAGCTCGCGACCCCGTCCACACGAGTCAGCGCGTTAAACCGTTACGCCATGGAACTCCCAACATCTAATATATATGGATACAATATAAGTTTATATTAATATCGTTTTCTCGTTAAATGAATGTTTTGTGTCCCCGTCTATAACAAACTCGGAGTATGCCCGTCGCTTTTTGTCGATGCAGCAGCGAAGCAGCAATGCGACGTGATGTAGTCCGCAAAGCTGTCAGACGCCATTACGTGCACGTCATGTCACTTGTTTTGTTATTTGACGCGGCAGCAAAATAAATAAAAACGCGGCATCGCAGAATAAAAATCCTGACATGGACTGATCCGCCACGCTCGGTCGCGGTCGAATGAAACATTGCGCTTCGAGTATTACAAAAATAGAGCTGATGCCGTTACCACGTTACATAGTAGTTTGTTTGAAAATGTGGTGGAATTTTCTTCTTAGAGATGAAATACTCATAGAGTCGGAGTACTTACAGAAGAAAATTTCAATTAATCTCAAATTGCGTTATCAACTTGGATCACACATAACACTTGACACACGAGACTATGATCGATTTTGTGGCCATCAAACTATATCCCAACTTTGTAAGATTGAAGTTAGGATAATCATTCTGATAATTGTAGGACTGGTAACATTCTTAGATTCTCTTCACAAACTCATATATTTTTCAAGTATCCTACTTAAACCTTGCTTTTATAAATTTACCTATAGTAATTATAATTTCTGCTTTCAACTAAAAGATTCTGATATTTACAATGCGTTAATAAAATAGTTATACGTTCTTTGCATTATATTTAATTAAGTGTTAATAGCAGGTCCACAAAATAAAAAAAGTTTTCTGTATTGAGTGTATGACACATGCTTTCTAATGTAGTTTCTAATGTTTCAAAAGTCAAAATTGGGCATCAAATGGCAAAAAATGGAGAAAAGTAAAAAAAAAATCGACAAAATCTTTAATATAGTAATTCTTTAGCATGATGATTAAAATCTTATAATTTAAGTCTATGTATTATTCTTGTATAACATGCAATCTCATAAGATATCCAATATAAATTAAAATCGTGCAAAATTAAGTAAAATTTTGTAAAAATTAAATAAAATTATGTCTATATTCATTGTCTTCTGATAAATAAAAAATAGAAAATATTTATGTGCTTTGAAGCTCTTTGACTATTTCGGCATAGAGGATATACAACTTTTGCCACAACAACTTTCTAAAACAAAATATTTGATTTGCATAGTTCAAAAAGTTGGTAGCAAGGTTTTGTCAAACGAAAATCAAAACGTTGTGAAACAATGACCAAATAATATTATATAATATATAAATGTTAGGATAATATTTTATTATAAATTTTGATTTTCATTCTGAATATCATATTATATGTGTAATTTTTCAGATTGTATTCATAAGCATTAGATTAAGTTAATCGACTCAGCTATTCAAAAATTTTTTTTCCAAGTTTCTACTGTTTTAATTGATCGTAATAGTACTTCAAAATTATGAATATTATACACAGATATATTTTGTTTTCAGCATATTCTATTTTCTAATAATTCTATACTATTCTTCTAACTTTTTACGGCACTTTTTTACCAAGCAGGCGGGGTAAAATGGGACAGCTAAGGGACAAACATTGAATATTTTTATTTTTGATTTTATTGGTATAAAAATAATAGCTCAATATTTAGCCAAAGCAAAATAAATTTTAGAGCACATTTTTCATAAAAACAACGCTGATCTGGTATTTTGTCAAAATGATAATCGATAACCGACTATTTTGATTTATTTCTTAGGAAATTGATTTTTCTAGTCAAATTTATATATGTATCTACTATTTTTTATTGTTTACGTCATTTCCAGGGCAAATATTTAGTTTGTCCTTCTTACCGCCCAGCATGTGAGCTTTCATAAAAACATTTGTTCAACATGACTTAAAATTAACAAAACTCTTTTTTTTTAATTACAATATTTATTACAACTGTTCAATAATATAACAATCTAGCAATAATGATATATAATAACATAAATTTAAATAAATAAGAGTACAAAGGATAGAATTTATGATGATTTAATATAAAATAAAAGCAAATAATAATAAAAATAAAATTAATAAATAAAATAAATAAAATTTCTGAATAATAAAATAATACTAGAAAAACAATAAAATATAACAATATTAGAAATAAGATAATGATAATAATAATAATAATAATAATAATAATAATGTTAGCGTTTACAAATGGCTATTTATGAGATCATTGGGAATTTTTCGTTTTAGCCTGGTTGGGCGCGCTTCTGAGAATACTAACAAAACATCTTATAGAACAATTAAATGAAGTATACTTGAAAAACACATTAAAGTCTCGTAAACTAAACAACAGTGATCACATGCAAGAAATGTGACAAAGAAAGAATATACTTTTGTTATAGACTTTGAAACTTTGCGGTTTATATACCGGTAGCAACGTTGTTTGATTTAAAGTTATAGTTGATTACACATCTTTTTCCCTCTACTTTCAAATATTGTTGTTCAAAATATTTTAATTTTAAACCCGAACCTTTAACCACAGCTCTATCCAATGTAAGTAGAAAATGTATATATTTGTATTTGGCAGTTATATATTGAAAGTTTTAAGAATTCATGTTGAATATGAAAGAGGCTACTTCAAAAGTTCATTCTCCAAAAATTGTCAGCTCTTCGGCTATAACCGGCAGCAAAATAAATGTTTATTGTGAATTTATTCAGTGCGCTACGTCGGTTCATGTACGTGTTATTTATTTGATTGTTTTCCAAACTGAAGTGCCCCATTTTATTATCGGATTTTTAAACCGCCTCGACGTGACTGAATGTTAACACGATGAGTGATTGAGCCATATAAAACGATGAACGACCAGAGACGGAACGATGACAACTTTAATAACCCTCCTTCCATTTACAGTTCTGATACGTTTCGAAGATTATTTCAACGGAATAATGATTATTGTCGCATTTGTATTGATGGAGGTCGCAAATTTCTATGCTATTATGTTATAAGCATATTTACGACTCGCATTTATCACGTCCTTTTAAAGCACTCCGCATAAGGAATTTTGAGCCGAGACGCTATTGAATAAGCTCCAATCTGAATGGTATAATAAAACATACCCATTATTTGCAGAATATTTCAAATTATTCGAACCCTTTAGAATCGGGGAATAGCATCTTAAAATATTTTTAGTCAAAATATAAATTAAACAAACTGGTAATAATCGAAAATATTCAAATACTACAGTACTTCAATTTAGGTTTCACTGGAACATTCACACTCACATACAATATAATTATTGACGACCCGTAGGGCAAGTTATAATAATCGTCCAAAAATGGAAAATAAAAATTTTAGCAAAATTTTACGTTTCAGAGGTTTCTGAACTTTTTGCATACCTTAGAAATAATGGATGTGTGTACGTGTAACTACATTTTTGGGACCACGAATCAACCGATCTGAATGATTCAAAAAATATTCGATTCTTATTGGTTGAGAGACGTAATGATTAGGTTTAGGCAAAGACAGGTCCAGCTTTTTCAGAGATGTGGAGCAAAAAGTACAGAAAATAGTTACTCAGTTTTTGCGAGAACCGGGCACCCGATTAGAATGATTGAAAAAATATTTTATTTATATTAATCTGAGGTGATGCTAATTAATTTTTTGCAATAATGGATGTGTCCGTTTTTGGGACTACGGATCAACCGATTTAAATGATTCAAAAAATAATCGATTACTGTTATTAGAGAGATGTACTGATCAGTTTTTCGCAAGAATCGTGCATCCGATTAGAATGATTCAAAAAATATTTGGTTCATATTATTGAGAAATCATGCTGATTAGTTTTTTTGCAAAGGCAATTCCAACCGTTCTGGAGATACGGAGCAAAAAGTGCAAAAAATAGCAGTTATTGATAGAACGGATCATCTAATACAGAAAACGTTTTGCTGGTGTTGACGGTGTAAAGAAATGATTAGTTTTTGATGAAGACAAAAAAATTATTCTAAAAATTGTCTAAAATTATTTGGACTTCAATTTGAATTCAGGCTAAAAACATTTAAAATTTCTCGAATATTTCATTTCAGTACGGAAAGTTGCAGCAATTTGACTTAAGGCACTATGTCATGTACCATTAGTTTTTTTATTATATTGTACGACGTTTAACATATTTTGTTAAAATTTCTTATGTTTTGGGGGAAGAATTTTTTGGGAAAAGAATTTATAGTAATTCTAGTTTCTTTTGGCGAAAGATTTTTTTTAATTTTCTTTGAATCATCAAAAAAATTTCTTTGAAGATCGAAAAATAATTCGGATTTTAATTCTAATTCTAGCTAAAGATCTGAACATCACTTATATACTTCAAATGAATAATTTTAACTCTGCAATTAAGTTTATTAAATACTTAAAAATATTTGTCAATGTTCTTTATTTCAAATCCTATTGATTAAATATTGCTCACTTAATTTTTATAAAATAAAAATAATGAAAGTTACATTATTTATAATAATCTATTTGAAAATATTTAATATTCCTCGAATAATTCATTAAGGCACGGGAAGTTCCAGCAATTTACCTTAAGGCACAATGCCATACACCACTAGTTTAACATATATTAACATTTTAAATATACATGTTGCAATTACCGGTGGTTTTTGGATTTTATTAGTGAACTGTTTTATTGATAGATGTTCGCACAATTGTAAAGTAACTTATGATTATTTTATATTTGACCATTCGCCCACAGCCTTATAAAGTTTCACAAATAATGATGAGGAAAAATTTCCCATAATTTCTTAGGAAAAGAAGTATCGTCTTCTTAACATTGAAGATATTCATGATATCATGAGAATACTTTGGCCTTACGTAAAGAGTTACAAAATACTTTGAACTTAATACCCTTTTAGTGAGCACTAGATGTTGTATCCCGTGTATCTCAGTGCAGACGAAGTTAATCTTTTAGGATGGTAGCGGATAATTAAATTTGAATAATTTTATTAGTACCTAGCCCCACTGTGTTGTATATAGAGTTCTCTTGTAGAGCTTCATGGTTGCACATTACGAGCTGCCTTCAATATTAAAATGCACATTATAGACTAGCAAGAACGTACTTACCCATCATGAGATTTTTTTATTTTCACAGTGCTTCTGTGTATTTGATAATGATTCTATATCCATAAACGTAATGTTGCAAATGGAA